GCATCAGGATCCTCCATTGAAGCAATGCCACACATCCTGATCAAATTACCTGTCATTAGAACTGTGTGCTCCATATTCGATGTGCAAGGCTAAGATGCGTCTTCTGCAATGCAAACGTTCAGTAATATTTGGACACTCAGATATTCGCGCAAGTCGATGGCTGCAGCTAATTGTATCCTGGCGAGGATATCCGCATACCTTACCGTCAAATGAACAGTTCTAAGTTTCCTTAAAAAGCCTAAATTTTGTTGAAAATCTATGATACGATATTTCTTTACGTCAGGATCAACTCGATGTACGCAAGCTAAATGACGTCCAAAATACAGTTGATCACGTCATTTCTGCTCAACTTGGGCAGCCTTTTGTGCTTTGGAACTTCAACAGCTATCTGACTCTCTCAGATGACGATTACGACAACACCAGAAAAAATTCTTGACACAGAACTCCTGAATTACCTTTCTGCTTCTGATCTCAATAATTTTCGCTGACGGCACTTGCCGTGGATCACCTGGGCAAAGGCATGCGGACGGTAATGCAAAGAATAGCAGACGCTCCCCAGCAAATGTCGGGTAAGAAAATGGCTTTTGAAAAATTTGTTACTCAGAACAGTCAAGGAGTTGCACATGCTGGTTCCTTGAAAAACAGCGTTCGCTATTATCCGATAGGCATAAGCCCTCCTGTGCATATTGTGGCGGGGTCAGCAATGGAAGTGAGCACTTTCGCAATCAAGGGGGTTTATGAAAAGGCCATGACTCAGCGACGACACTAGCAACGCCCCGAGCTACGGATGCATCTTTATCATTTCTTTTCACAGTCGCTTTAGTGGTGCTTCAATCATTATTTATTTATTTATTTATTTATTTGATCAATTTGTTTTTATTTATTTATTTATTATTTACTAGATGCACTGATAGGTGCGCTTACACTTCTAGGTACCACAGAATCAGGTCGAGACACAAAAATAACAAAAAAGGAAAAACATACAAAAACCCAAACCAAACAACACAAACACATAACATCCAACAAAACACGACATAAAGAACACAAAACAGCACAGAACAACAGAAAGGCGAAGCACTGGCATAGTAACGTAATACAGCTGCAGCAGTCGTAGCTGTAGTAGTATAGTGGGTACAGTAAGCATAGTCGGTGATTAATTTCTGTCAAATATAGATGAGAAAACAAAGAAGCCCGTTTATCACCTAGAGATGTCGGTTAGATCGAATAACCACAGGTAAAGTGAAGAGACTTAGTTTCAGGTTGTTTTAGTTTTTTCCTTTGGCTTTATTTTTTCTGTTTAGGAACCACCGTTAAAGGGTAGATCAAGTAATAAAATCTTGTAAATCGAACCACTGAAATCTGATCTATTTATTCAGGTTCTAATTGAACTAACAAAATCTCTGCAGGGTTACCTCCGGGTTTCGAAGAGGTCCTACCCAGTGACGTCGTGAAGCAACTGAAGATGATTGATGAAAACGACGCGTTGACTGGTGAGGTATGTTGATTACTTTTGACTTTTCCGATACATTTCAAGTATCAATTGTACAAGAGCAATTTCCATCTTCTTAATATTCAAGCGAAAACGCCAGAAAACTGACGAGGTCTTTTCTTCACTGCCAACGGAAATCATCGACAAACTCCCGCACCCACCATTTTTCGAACACTTACCGAAGGAGATGCAGAAGGCAATCAATCAGATTCGGCGAAACAGGGTGAGAAAGAGCTCTGTAGCAAATGTATCAATAGCGAGAGTCCAACAATCACTAACTACTTTCAGACAATGACATGGCACGAACGTCATGAAGAGATACACTCCGTGATTGACACTTTACCAGAAAATATTCGCCCCCGATTCCCACCCCCACCACCACCGCTAAAACAACGAGGAAGGCCAGGAGGAACAAGAGCAGGCCGTGAGCGTCAAAAAGCAGTTCACTAAAGCCACACAATGCGACTAATGTAGTCGTTTGAGTAATGGTCACTCCCACTGGAGTCGGACGGGGGTGTCAGCGGCACATGGAATTAGACGTAGCGCCAGTCCCTTTCCCACCACTGATTGTATCTCCAACGCTATGGAATAGGCTGGCATCGCGTCAAATCAAGGTGGCGCTGACACGCCCCGTCTTAATTCACGGATAATGACCGCAGGTAGGAGTTAGAAGGGAGCACCATTCTTGACAATTCCAATTCCACTTCAAGATTAGCTGCTGCCGTAAAAATCTATGATTAACGAGAAGATATGAAGAACATATTTTTAAGATTTACCATCGGGCTTTGATGAAGTTCTACCCAAGGAAGTTATGGAGAAAGTGAACGCAGTTCGAGAGAACAGCGCCTTATCCAACCAGGTATCTATTAGTTTCTTTAGCTTCAACCATTCGATGCATTAGTATCTATTTCCTCCCAACACTCCTGATTTTAAGCAAAAACATGAGAGAGTCGAAAGTATACTGTCGTCGTTACCAGTGAAAGTCCTTGTGAAACTTCCCCTTCCGCCATTTTCTCATGATCTCCTAGAGCCAATTCGTCAAAACATCACAAAGATATATCGAAATAAGGTGAGGTGATAACACCGGGTATATTAAATCCACATAAAATCCTTTTCTTAGTTCTATTAGCTCTAATTGTGGTTTATCATGTCATGAACACTGTTTCAGCTGGAACGTTTTCGGCCACACGGTCAACCTTCCGTGCCAACACTTACACGTTAAGGACGATTTTCCGATGATGGTTGGGATATTCGCTTCTATGATTAAATTATCTGATAATTAAACATTTCAGCAGTTTGTTTTGAGGAGTGAAGACAAGCGACCATGCCAGGATACGCCATGCAACCCTCGCATGTCAAAAAACATTCGCATTGATCGGTTGGCTGAAGTCCAACTGTCCTACTTAAAGGCGAAAATCCGCGCTCATTTGCCATCTCAAATAGTGAATTTGGGCTTCGCATAAAGAAACAAGGTTCAGAGTAAAACCTTAGTGAAGAAAAAAAGCAGAAAAAAACATGCCCTATGTCCAAATGGAACCCCATTCCGATCCCAGCTTGTACGTGCATGCGATAGCAAAACAGCGCTTATGGACGAGCTTTCCAAACAATTGGCTCGCTGCCAGAAATAGCTGCGGCGCCTCGTTTGAAAGATTAACATTTATTTTTGTTATTCCACTAAGATCATCTTATCATACTGTTTCTTTGTTGGTTTTGAAATGGTGTTTTACTTTTCATATTGAAAGAGGTGCTATTTTCATCAT